TGTTTAGGCATGAAGGTTCTTCTGAAAAGGGCACAAATTTTAGATCTCTTGATCAGTAAAATTGAATTTGAATTTGCACTGGAAATTTCCCTTACTTTATACAGTGGAACTAATAAGTTTTTTGCTTCCTTTTTTTTTACCATTTTCAGTGATACCAACAAATTGGAGAGTAATTAGCACATTCGAATGTCTTGTACATTTCCTTTGCATTTACGCATGTATTTTAAATTTATGAACAAACTGGTAAAATAATCATCTTAAAATATTTATTTCTTTCACCTTGGTAAATAAAATGAAGTTAATACTTAATAGTCATCTATTGCTTCTTATATTACAATAGTTAACCAGCTTTTACAATGCTAAATAAACCTACAGAGACATATCACTATCTTGGCATAAAATGGTAATAGAAGTGGTGGGAGCACTGTCTATCTTTCTGTTGGGAGAAGAATGAAAAGACTTAGGTGGAATTTGTAGAACTTCATGGCTCACCTGTAACTTATCCAGTACCCTATCAACGGACGGGCGATTTGCTGGGTCCGTCTGTATGCACCACAAACCTACTAAAATCATCTTTCTTGCACTTGCTTCTGCTGCTTTATCCACTGTACATTGCAATTTTATGTCTTGATCCATCAAAAGACAATTGTAGATCCAATGCGGGAAATACAATTCAATGCTATGGTCAAATTCCATGTCAATATTTTTTCTCACACTCGCCATTTCTAAAATCATCATGCCATAGCTATATACATCTTACTTGCAGGACACAACACCAAAGTTTCTAGAGAAAACTTCTGGGCAAAATGTATCCTACAGTTTCTCTCGTACCTAGCATTGATATTTTGTTCTCCTTCCTAAGGCATAGTTTGGTGAGGTCAATATCTGATACTTACAGGAGAGAAAAGGATGTTTTGAGGTTTTATATCAAGATGAAGAATTCGCGTGTTGCACCCAAGATGCAAATATTGCAGACCTTGAGCAATATTGATTGCTATATGATATATTCTTTCCCATCCTATAGGTGAAAATTTCTTTTTCCATAAATGTAGTTGTCAGGAGATCCATTTGGCATGAACTCATATGTGAGTGCTCGTTTAGACGCCTCGTAGCAAAAACTAAGAAGTGTGACAATTTTTACATGTGAAGTCCTGCTAATGCTGGAAACATTTACAAATTCTTCTCCATTTGCCTTGGACTCATACATAACCTTTACTGCAACCAGACAATCATCCTGCAGCTTCCCTTTATACAAATACCAGTCTCCCTGTCCTAATTTGTCCTTAAAAAATGCAGTCATTTTCTTAATATCTGAATAGTGATATTTTTTGGTGCCATGGGTCCACACTTATCTAGAATATCTTTTAAATTTTCATTTTTCTTTGACATCTTCCTACAGAAAGGTCCACATACCGTGCAATGTAGTTCCTTTTGAAGCAAACACACAGGATATATATCACCAAATGAATGCAAGCTCCAAATGTGGATGCAGTTTGCAAGGAAAATAACAAAATTCATATTATGCTGTTTTGCTGGAAAGTTTTAAGAACATAAATAATCATTAGTGTGTTTGGGAATACCTATAAAAATTCGGATCGTGGGATTCACATGGTTTCCTGCAATACAAGCAATGTACAAGAGAACACTTAGACTAATGAAGCAAGTAGTTTGATGGACGTGTTTTAAATCACAAGCATTGACTACCTTCACTTGAAGTGATGGATACTCTTTGGTTGACCAAATACAATTTTATTTTCAATGCTGAGATTCATAATTATTTCTTACAGATATTTTATGTTGACACTGATTTTTGCTCGATCCATTTTACAGATATCGTATGTACCTCATTCGTTTTACCAGGTGGAAGTTGACATCTCATCAAGTTAGCTGTCTGGAAAGAAACATGTAGGTTTAAAATAACTTGGGGGTTTAAAATAACTTGGGGGTTGGGTTGTATCCACATCTCCCACCAGATCCTGCACATTCTATGCATGCTGCATCATCCTTGATTCAGTGTACTTCAAATCCATCATTTAGAACCTGATCAATTGATGTTAAATTATTTCTAAGAGCATTTACTGCTGTTTGGAGCACGGGGACAGTGATAGTGGTCGCGCAGTTTCCATGCTCTCCATCGGTCGGAATGGAATTGTGAAGTAGCCATTCTCAACTGAGGTACCATTCTTGTGACAACAGAACTTATAGGACGCTAATGTGTGTACTAACAGGCGAACATCCAAAAAACACAGCCAGGTACCCAAAATTGGGTATGTAACTCAATAGGTAACTTGTGGTTGTATCCGTGAACATAGATGGGCAAGTGGTGTTGAACAAGTCTAATCTGACAAGCCTCAAAACTTGGTTTTTATGATCTAATTTCAAGACTCGAAATGTTTGTGACATGATCTTTTGACGAGGAGATAGTTTAGATAGAAGTTAAATAGAGTTTAATTTCAATTAGATTAGATAAGATCAAATTTAATTATTTCGATTAGTTTATTAGATGTTTGTTTCTTTCAGTTTCTTGCATTGTAAATAAAGAGCTTATTTATTGTAATATTCAACCCTTGAATATATGAAATAAATTGATTCCTCTTTGCCCTCAATTCTTCTCTTCTTGGACCCCCTTTCTTTCTTACTCTTTGTCAAATTAATACGCTTCTGCGTCATCTTTATTGTAGGGAATTGGGCTTGACACTCAAGTTTGAATTCGGGGAGACCATAGTAGTACAGTTGAGGATCCCCCGGGAAGGGATAGCTAATGTTTTCTATGCCCACGCATTGAAACTGATGATCACACTGTAAGTATCGTGCATCATCTGCTGACAAAATTGCTGGAACTACTGAAAGAACTATTGCAATGATGCTAAGGTCGAAGGGAACATATAAGAGAGGTCTGTGAAACATTTAGCCGAAATTTTGCATCAAAGTATGTATAAGTAACTTTATAAGATATGTGAATGGTTTTGGTAAAGACCAGTGCAATAATCATGCCATTGCTGGAATCATATTGATTTGTTGACATTCTCAACATTTAGAAATTTTAACGGTCAGAATGGCTAAACTGTCTATTTGACTTGATGACATTGTAAGGAGTCGAGTTATTGCGCTTCTTGGAATTGTACTAATATAAAATTGTCTTGACAAGGATTGAATGTGGCAACACAGGTAACAGGGAGTGCTCAAGGGTGAGTGTAGATTTTGTAACAACAATGCTTTGACAAAAAATCTTTAGAGACAGTCAAACACCACATGGCACGACATCATTGAAAGATGAAAAAAAAAGAGTCCAATCACGCATCGCCACATCAGCTTCGGTAAAGATTTTCCCGTACTCATGGCTTTATCCGATTTTGGAAAAGTAGGCTGTGGCTAACTTGGGTCTTCTAAGCCTGTTGACTGTGAGAGCCTTTTTTCTATTTTTCTCACTAGAGTAGCGAAAAGAACAGCAGGCCATGTGAAATTCGACCCAGTTGTGCGCAAAAAAATGCCGTATCGTGCCTATAGGCACCCATAGTGAACCACTCGGTGCCTAGAGCGTTCTGTTCCATGGAAAATATTCTATTTTTAGATTATTAAACATTCGAGAAGTTGCATGTCTGAACAGATACCATCCTTTTTGTTTGGCTATTGCCTGTCTTCTTTCTGCCTTCAAATTTTACTTATTTTCCTCCCTTTTTCCTATTTGCTTGTGTGATGTATATTTCCTTGAAAAGAGAGGAGCTGCGGTGGTCCCTGAACCGTTCGAATCCCACAAGTGAATTGAAAGTTTTTGATTCGAAGTTACTTGTTCCTTTCTGGATCCCTATTACTATTAGTTCCTCGTTACCAACTGTCAACAAGTTCCACTTTCGACTTAATTCAACAAGGCCCAAATCCGAAAATTTTGGACACAAGTCTACATCTAAAAGAATGTTTCCAGGTTTAATGTCAAAATGTATAATTCTTTTGTTGCAACCTCCATGAAGATATGCTAAGACCTTGCACGACCCACAGTAATTCGGTTCAATGTTTTCCACTCTAAACAGCATTCTGTATTCAGCAATCCACTCTTGTAGATTAATTTGTCTAATGATTTATTGGGCATAAATTCATAGACTAGTTCTCTTCTATTTCTGTCATAACAAAACCCTAAGTGATTGACAATATTGACATGGGAAGTTCTACTGATGCTACCAACTTCCTTTATGAAGTCTTCTCCGTTTCCTTTTACCTTGTTCAAAACCTTGACAGCGACGAGTAGACCATCAGATAGCATTCCTTTGTATACATTACCATATCCTCATTGGCCAAGCTTATCAGAGAAGGATTTGGTTATGTCGCTTATTTCTGAATAGTTATACCGATTCAGAGCAAGATATCCGTGGTCAAGTGGAAATATTTCCATTTTTTGATCGTTCTCCTGTCCAGATTCACATGAACAGTCTTTTAAGGAAGCAGAATACCGAACCGAACACATGAAATGACTTGGATGTAAACATGAAACCGTGATAATATGGATGTCTAATGCTTTGGATGCAGCTCTCAAACAGAGAATGGGACAATCAGAGTGTGAACGTGCACGTTTAAGTTTTTGTTCCAGGAATGAAAAATAACTTTCTTACCCTCTCAGATGAGAAAAAGTGAAAAAATAAAAACAAAAACTGGAACTGGAACTGGAACTGGAAGCAAAGAATTGGGAAAGAAATAGTTGCACGTACCGTTCCTGTTGTTGCAAGTAACTCATGAGATCGATCAGCACAATAACAAGCAAACAAGGTAGAATCCCGAGTACTCCCACAAAGCCTATCTGAGCTGACGCAATTTTGGCAGATGGTACTATTGGCAGACCACTGCAACAAGAAGCCACTTGCAAGAGCATCCTGAAGAAGAGTAACTCAAGCAGTTGGAAGTGCCAACAAATTCCCAGTCGCAGTTTGATTGATGAGAACAAAGAAACTATTGTCATATCTGATTGTACTTCCAGGGTCAGATGATTCTCTTATCACGTAGAAACTTCCACTGGTGGCGGCATTCACATCACAACTGAAATAATTAGGAAGCTGTGGAGGCTGGTCATAACGGAGGAGCAACTGTAGTATAGAGTGAAGTTTCTGTCAGTGGGAGAAGGAGTAAAGAGGTGGAAATCCAAGGCGGTGTTTTGCCTTGGTGGAAATTAATTCTGCCTGACTTGGTCCAGGGGAAATTTGAAGTAAATTCCTCTGCAATTCTATTGGACAAGAAGTGCACGTAAACTAGTCGATTTCTAAGCTAATTTAATTTATAGAAGCATCTTGATTGACAATAATGTAATAACATTATACAAAAATTAAGGATTAAATTTCTAAATGGCCAAATAACAGTTGGAAATTCTATCTGTGCCCTTCTTTCTATCTAGGCAAGTAATTTATGAAAAGTTAAAACCGACAAAAAAAAAAAAAAAAAGATTAGTTATTGGAAGCAGTCAAATGTTCAATTTCAAGGCTAAACAGTATGTTTAACACTGTAGAACAGCAAACATGAAAAGGATGGGAAAAAAATGAGACTAATATACATATTTGGAGACATGAAAACAGCTGAACTGCATGCCGCTCACATCAAGTTCTTATTTTCCTCTTGGGGTCATACTTCACCCTCAAGCTTATATGATCTAACTTATACCATAAGCACTCACGATATGATACAGAGAAACCCTGATACTATCAGTTGAGGAAGGTATGTAAATTAATGTGCGTTAACTAAATCACCATATCAAGCCTTTTTTCCTCCTCAACCTGTCAAAGCGGTCTGTACTCATTCGAGACTTTTCAGGCTTGCTCAACTTCTTTGACTTGTCAAGTCGACTATCCAAACTGTTCCTAGATAAATCCGGTAGATCTGTTTGCAATGTGTCTGTGGTATTGCTAGTGGCTGATTTATTCTCATTGTCAGAGTCTAATGATGCCGTTTTAGAACCATCAATAGGTGGCTTTGATTTCCCAAGAGCCAGCACAAACTTTTTCAGATGTTTAATGAACTCGGGATAAAGTTCCAGATTGCAATGTCCACCTCCGTTTATCCATAGAGGTTCATACTTTACCTTGCAAAGCTCCCAAAGCTGCTTCCCGTGGGAGCAATCAACAACTTCATCTGCCGTTCCCTAGTTATGAAACTAATAATTATTAATCATTTATCTCATAAAAGATTTAATAACAACTTAAAAGTGACTGCTACCTTTTGATAGCAGATTTTTTAACATATTTTAGATATTTTATGCGAAACAGTTCATACACAATCTCCAGTAGAAGAGAAGAAAAGAGTCAAGTACCTGAACTATTCATGAAGTTTATGATTGTGAAATAAGTTTCTTCTAAAATCCTTCTTGAATTAATATATTTTTAAGCCTAAAAAGGCAAACAAGAAATATTAAGGGGCATTGATGCTGCCCCGTCTGTGACTGTGTTTCCCTTGTTTGGAGACATTTGACACCCCACGTCCCAGAAAGTCTTTCCCTTGTTATGTAGTCATGTGACTGTTTAATTTAAAATCTTATTTTCTATTCCCTTAGTTCATTAATGGATGTCTTTGTTAAGGAATAAATCACCGATACATGAAATAAATAACCAATATACAGGGATTTGAGCTACTATTTTTAACAAGGTTGACCTTTAAAAATGGATTCTAAGTCTTTAACTTAGCATCAGAGCCCATTAAGTTGAAACAAGATATTCTGACCGTCTAAAGCTCAAACGAGCATTCGGATTCTAGGATTCATGTGATCAAACAAGCCACTATCTTGTAGGGTATGCTAAAGGATAAATTCCACATTGTTTTATAGATTAAGAGCTTGGCTACTCTTCTTTATAAGGTTTACTTTCTAAGATGGAACTTTAAGTCTCAACGTAAAAAAATATATAGACGAAGAGTCTAGGCAAAAACATTATTCAGAGTCACAGAAAAAGGACAATCATCTACTAATTAACATACAACAATTTGAAGGCCAGTCCACAAAATTTGTTTCTCCAGATATTTTAGGAATTAACAAAATATTAAACAGTGATTCAGGGATGGGGAAAAATGTTTAGAGAAAACTGAGGGTAAGAAAACTTACATGAATGACAAGAACTGGACAGTTTATTGCCCCAATTTTGTCAATATTCTGTAATTAACATAGACACAACGGAGAAACGATGTGTCAATATGCAAAAATTGGGAACAAAATGACACATGACAATGAATTGTAAAATTACCTTGTATATATCAAACCAATATGTCCGTTTTACAGGGTACAACACCCTTAACCCAGACAGAATTGGGCTATGTAAAACAACCCCTCTCAAGTTTGGTACACGTGATGCAAGATCAACAGTGGGACCACTACCAACAGACTGACCATAGAGTATTATTTGTTCGTCTTTAACCCCATACTGCTCCTTGAGGCATTTATATACAGCATCAAGGTCTGCGTAGGTATTACATTCAGTTGGCTGTTTCCAGAAACAAGGGATGACTGTGTCATAATATAGCACGACTCAACAATAAAATGTTAGGAGAAATATGCCAACCATGTCAAAACCTAAGAAAGAGCAGCACAGAAACAAGCAAGCGATCCCTTACCTAGAGCATGTTTGGCTAAGCTTAAAAGTCAATACCTACTTTTTAGTCATTTCTGTTTTCAAAATATGTTATATTTTCCTAATTATAAGGAAAGTTAACCTTTTTTTTTATAGGAAGGCAGGATTGCTTTCAAAATAAGTAACTTACTTAGTCCTAACTTACTCAAAAGTAAATATTTTAAACTTAGCAAACACACACCTTGTCAAGAACAAAGGAACATTGCAGAAATTAGACAAAGCTTTTGTGGAAAAAAATTGCGATTTGGTCCAAGATTTTAAATTTAACTATGATACAACAGAACTTGCATCCGCTTTAAAATATCCATCTCATGTAAGTAAATCTTACACCTATCACCTCAATAACTACGTCTTTGACATAGTGCAAAAGAGAGCTTGAGTAAATCAGTAAATATATTTTCTCTAGTTTCCCAATACCTTCAGAATGAAGTTTCATTATTATTTTTGTTCATATGTAATAATGATTTCCAAACATATACAATGTCTTAACTATGATCTAAGGAAATTAATAAATCTTGTACGCCTGACTGTATAGTTAATTTGTACAACCGTCTGACATTGTTTGAGAACTGTTTATCAGAAGTCTGATACTGCTACCCAGTTTATATGGTTCAATATGATTAGAGAAGTGTCAAAACGCTTATTCACTACCGTCAAAGAGTGGCTTACTGGGGAGAGAAAGCTTAAAATAGAAGACTATCCCAAAATTAATGCAGTTTGAGGCAGACATGACGTATTCTTAGGATCTTACATTGTTAGCGTTCCTTAATTTCATGGCATCACAGATCACCTTTGTAAAAGCTTGAATGCCGTGCTTTCATATTGCAAAAGGTGGAATCCCAAGTTATTTACAAAACCATTTAGAGTATCTGAATATTGAAACAACAACAACTATAACGACAACTAAAAACTAGGCGTCATTCAACAACATGAATCCTTCTTAGCCATTGCACTCTGTTCATTGCTAAATCTACTTGGAGATCAAAGTTCCTTATCAACTACAACAGGCCGAGTATTGCTTTAAAAATATTGTTATTAAACTACCAATACTAAAAAAATATTCCATTAAAAATTGAACATCTCTACTTGCTTTATGGACTGTCCCAATCGAGTGCATTTTCCTAAGGTAAACAATTCCTTATGTTTTTTCCCGAAAACTACTACTGACATAATCCCATGTTATTACTCATCTCACTATTGATGCTAAGAACAGCTGGTCACAAAATTCTGCAAACGCTAAATCAAAACATGTCATGTCCGAAATCACATCAAGTCAATCAAAGACATTCAGTTTGGGGTGGAGCAACAAATCTTGTAGAAAAGAAAAGAAGAACAATGTAATAGAGGATTCTATGCAACAATGAAGTTACGATACTTGTGTTAATAGCGTACGTCCTTCCTAATTGTAGAAGAAACAAAACCCAAAATGAAAGCATAATCGAATAGTATAAAGAGTAAGTTCACATTTAAAATCGTTGAAAGCATTTGCAAATTTATTGCAGGGGACCCAAATTATGAGGACACCAATTTTGATAGAGAATGTAATAGCATCGAGATGTATGCCTTGAAGGATCTTTCTCAGGTGAAAAGAAAACAAAGAAGGACGATATTTGCAGAACAAACATATACTGCAGTTTAAAGGGAGTAGGCATCTAACCTTTCCAGTGGAACGTCCGTAGCCCGAATAATCATATCTGGAGACGATACAAGAATGAGCAAGTCAGCAAGGTAGACAACAATCAAGAAAAATAGGATGGTCATCCTTTTTATTCTTAAATATTTCATAAACGCCACATGGATGAACTTTTGCAAAAAGATGCACAGCTTCTGGACAGAAATTGATTAATTTAGAGCGGATTAAGCCCAATTGTGCTTAGGCCAGAAATGTATAGATCTCTAATTCCAAATAAACCGTTTCTCCTTCCCTTTTTATAATATCAAGGGAACTAATCCAACAAATTGAGAAAGATTACCCTGCTTATCAAAAAGAAATCTTTATCTGCCATTTCAAAGCTGGTAATTAGGTTTCGCAAAATTCCCATAATAGTTCGCTGGTTAGAATTGCTGCTTTCAGTTACTTGCTCATACTCATTCAACATTGAATGTATCAAACTTAAAACACAAATATGCGCCTCGACAATTAACCATATCTCGTTTATACCCTCTTTATTTATATTACTTCAAATTCTCCTTACAATTCTAGAAATCTCTGGTAAAGGAATAAAATGAACACATGGAACGAGTAATACGATGCAACCTCCATTTTAGCTCATCCAAATCACCAGCAAAAATACCTAAGGAGAATTAGAAGGGGAAAATTCGTGGCAGATCAAACGAGAGAAAATCTAATATTTCATTGCACTGATCTCATCAAATTAAGAAACCAAATCCTACTAAGAGATAGTTTTTATTTAACCAAATCAACTCATAAAGAGGAAAAGAATCAAACAAAACCCAGTATTAACTGAGGCACGACTCACCACATTAATGGGGAAAAAAAATGCTCTTAAATAATCAATCTTTATTACACCCCTATAGCTAAAAGCTCGTACGCTCATCAATTAGCAGCTGAAAAATCAGAAATTACCCCATGAGATTTACGCGTAGGCGAAGGCTGAGCTCCACGAATAATTCATACATCTGCCCCAAATCGGCGGCGTTTCCGTGGGAGTATAGCAGTGTAGCGTTGGCCTTGGGGTGAGTGACGTGCACCGCCACGATATCATTGCCCCGTCGGGTCCTTAGCTTCAAAACTTCGACGTCATCCCTCCGTGGTACCTCCGGTATGGAAAGAGCTCCACCACACGACTCTTCAGCCACAACCGTGTACGACGGAGGGGTCGGCGGGAAGAACGCGAACTTAGCTGCGATCGATGACGTCACCCCGCCCATTATTTCCGTTTATTAAAATATCCTCCTCCTCTCAGTAAATAAATTTATCGCATAGTTGTTATTGATAAACAAAGGAGCAACCTTTATCTCTTTCCTTGTATTTAGATCTTCTTTTTGGATTTTTGCAGAGAAAATAAACAAAGAGATAAAAGAGTGAAACTGGGTGGTGGAGTCTCAAGGGTGGCGCGTGGAATGGATGCGTAGAGATTAACGAGTAGGGAAAGTGAGTGCGGAATTTTCAAAGGAATCTTGAATATCTAACTGGAAATTTGGGATTTTTCTAAAAGTCATCAGATTTATGTGTTTAACGTGAAAGGAAATTAGGCATACAATAATGGGTACTGAATTTCCAGTTATGGCCTGCCTGACGGCGCTTTGTAGAATGGAATACGTACGTGTATTACGTTTAACGAGTCTACAAAAATAATTACTGAAAATAGGAAGGTGAGTTTGATGCAACAAATTATTTTAAAAACATGCTTTTTTTGTACGAGAAAAACTCAAAACAATGTTAAAGATCCAGGTTTCCAAATTCTTTTTTATGTTTTTAATTGGGATGCTATCGATACATTTTCAAAAATTCAATAATCTAAATGTCAACTAATTGGTTGAAATTAAATGGAATTTATATTCTTACATTTACATTTAAGAGGATAAATTATTGGACCCTGCTATTCGTACAAGGTGAGGGGGCCCCGGTAGGAGGGGGGGTTGTACACCCCCGGTACGAATAGCAGGAAAACCCTAAATTATTTAGCATTTCATAACTATTTTAAAGATTTATGTACTTTTCAACTAGTTAACTTCAATTATTCATACATTTAATAAGATTTGTAACTTTTATCAATTCTTTCATGGGCATTTTAAAAAATGTCCACTTTTTTGGGTGTCAATTGAAAAATGTCCATCATTTTGAATTTTATACCAAATTGCCCATTATGCCCTTAATGAAAAAATGAAGCAATTTGTTTTTTTCCATTTTTTTCACAAATTTCGAGAAGTAGCTTTCATGANATATAGAATATGCGGTTAGGAATATGTGTCAAAATTTTATTGGCCAATAAAATTTTTAATAGTGAACATTTTTGTGTTTATGTGGAATTATAAATTGTTAAGAATGGTATTTTGGTCTAAATTCTTTCAAAATAGACATTTTTGTAATAGGGGACATTTTTGCAAATGGATACAAAAAAGTGGACATTTTGTGAAATTTCCTCATTTTTTTAATCACATATTTTATTAATTTTATTAAAATATGCTAAAGCTCATATAATTGTTTTTTTTTTTCAAACAATCATTATCACTTAGAGCCTGTTTGACAACCATTATTGTAGAAAAAAGAGTTTGAATAGTGAATTTTATGAGAATATGTGATTAAAAAGTGGAGAAATTTTTTTAGTATACGTGTAGAATATTTTATTGTGTGAATATATGCTTAAAAATGATTTTATAGTAAATTATAAAATAAAGTAATGAATGTCAAACAGTCATTTACACCTAAAATGCTGACCTTAATCAATCTAGATGGACATTATTGTTCTTAAATATAGTGAATAATGTTGTCCAGACTATGTATGTCAATTTGAGTTTAATTTAAAGTTTGAACTTAGTTCTATAATGAAGCAAAATTAGACATTTAAGGTTAGGTTGAATTTTGTGACATATCTTTTTCTCTTTTAACTTTATTAAGCTTTTGCTTGATCTTTTTTATTTTCGAAATATATATATTTTTTTTCAATCACACATTTTTTAATAAAATAATATTATACGCAAATTCAAGATTTTTCCTTATTTTTTAACCATATATTTTCCATCAAACTACTATTCCAAAATGCATTTTTACAATAAAATGAGGCTCAAATAGGATCTAATCCTTTTTAAATTTTAATATTAGTATAGAAATCGCACACTTTGAATGGGCAGGCAATTGAAGTATGCAAATTCTTATACGATGAGTTTGCGTTTTGAGTATACAATACAAATACAAATTATGTTTCAACTGGTGGTGTGAAATTGGGATGTACAAAATCTATTCAAGAAATCATTAATACAACCAAAATCTCTCTTAGTACAGCATGAGTAAATCTAAAGTCATTTGTTACACAGTATTAGACACGACAATATTTTAAATTCTTTTTTATCTTTAATATTGTCAGCCAGAGTCAAGACTTCACAAGAGAAAATGAATTCACAGAAACCAAGTTCTGTTAAACAATTTTGTAGGCTTGCAAAGCTGTCAGTTCTTTTCATACTGGAAAACATATATAGAATAATTATTCCGTCAGTATTAACTCTGAGAAAACATTAGATAGAAAATTGATAGAAGAATAATTTAAGAAAACAGCTCCACTCTCTATGTACATCTCTTTGAAGCTTAAAATCAATATTAGCTGACTGTCAAAGCCATATACTCAATATAAAAATGAGACATGCAAATAGATGAAACATAATGAAACTCTACCCCGTTAAGTGACATCTGATGACAATCACCGAACAGAGTCAAGAGCGTCTGTATCTATAGCATAAATTCAAGCAGACTGAAAGGATTTCTCATCCACTAGAAGGTGCTAACCCATTTATCAGTGAACTGAATCCGGTGAGGACGGAGCAACGCTACCCTTCAACAGTCCAACATTGTCGTCTATCAAAATGTCAACAACCTCTGCCTCGTGAGCATTCAAGTCTCCATTCTGGATTCCTCTCAAGACCTTCAGCACTTCTTCCATTGAAGGCCTCATATCCCTTTCCTGTTGCAAACACCGAAAAGCTAACTCTGCGACTAATGTAGCCATCCTTCTCACGACATTGTTCGTCTCAAATCCAAGACTCGAATCGATTAACTCATGCAATGTTTGATTTTGAATCTTGTTGACCGCCATGTTAGCTAAGTTAACATCATGACGTTGTCGGTTGGTATCCACAGCTTGTAATGATGATATAAGTTCAATCAAAACCACTCCAAAGCTATAAACATCGCTCTTTTCTGTGAGTTGAAAGCACTGATAGTATTCGGGATCAACATAACCAGGTGTCCCTTGTGGAGCCGTTGACACGTGTGTGACGTCATTGGGGAACAATCTGGAAAGCCCAAAATCGGCAACTTTTACATGAAAGTCATTGTCAAGGAGAATGTTGTTGGTTTTGACATCACGATGTATTATATCTGATTTGTGGAGATAAGCCAGTGCATCGGCTGTTTCAATGGCAATATTCAATCGCACACTCCAAGATAGCAAGCCAGAATTGGAACGTTTCCCATGAAGATGATCAGCCACTGTTCCATTTGGTATATATTCATAAACAAGAAGCAGTTCTCGGCTTCGTTTTGATGTGCATCCATACAACGTCACAAGGTTCTGGTGCCTCAACCGAGTCAGGATCTCAACTTCATTCATGAACTGCTCTACACGCTTAAAATTGTTCTCGTACAAGCGCTTGACAGCAACTACACGGCCATCAGTTAGCACCGCTGTTCAAAAAAAATAAAAATATCAATAGCTGCACAAACTGCTGCGTATATCCAACTAACAACGGATTATGCTCATACCATAGTATACTGTGCCAAAGCCACCATCTCCTAGTTCTCTAGAAGGATCAAAATTATTGGTAGCTTCATCAAGTTCATTATAGCTGAAGACCTGCACACCGAAGTAGGAGCTAGCCCTACCAAAGTCAGATTTTGAAGAGGGATAAGAGGGGATGCTTTTGGTAAAAGTAGTTGATGGAGGAGTCGAGATGCTCTTGCTTGGTGGTGGAAGGTCCTTGCTCACAGTTTCGGTAGGTTGTGCAGCAAGCCGTTGTTTTTTCTTCTGTCTGTAGTGGAAAATTAACCAACCTAAGCCAACACCAGCAAGAACTGCACCACCTATGGAAAGGCCTGGAAATGCACGTAGAGAGAGAGGACAAAGATTATTATTTAAATGGTTGCGTATTGGAGATATAAGTCAATCTTCTTCATTTTTATTTTTTTTGGTACACAGAACAGGATCATACCAACACTCATTCCCGTTTTGTCTGAATTACCACTGCCTGCAACAGTAATTAGATTGTAGAATGTTAGTTGTAACCATAGCAGATTAAGTATAGCTAGACACGGAGAATTATTTCATCTCAATCCATCCCAAATAATAATAGAGCACAAAAATGATTGAGCATATTAAAATAACGAAAGTGCAAGCAGCAATATACTATCCAAAATGTAGACAAAGCTGATGGGATTGACAACTTAATGACAAGGATGTGAAAAGAAGCTTGTTCACAGCTGAATTTTCCATTATACAGGACTTATTTGTTTCCTTTTAAGAATGTGATTTCTTGCTCTTTCCAACTTTGTTCCATAGTTTACGTTCCACAAAACCTATCTATTCAGACACTAAATGTAATTCAGATCAAGTAACATATGATTACTCGTAGGGTTGTGCTACATGTACATAAGAATTTACATAATGGTTTACGAACAGATGATGTGACGAGATTTAATTGAATCAAAATCTTATCAATCAAATAACTTCCTAACTTACATTTTGACACCTCATCATTATATAAATATCATCGATGAAAAAAATGATAATTTTTGTTGTACACTTTTTTGTACATCTATTTTGACACTCCCCACACATGGGGTGGGGTCTGCCATTACTCATGAAAAAATTATGAAAATGATTAAAAAGGATTAATGAGTAATTATCAAATAAAGTAGAGAAACTAAGAAAATAATTGAGTGGACTGTGGATATTGCGTTAATCAATGTCTGCGTTTTGACTTGATTGCCCACAATTCTTGACGTAAGGACAAGATTAGGTATAGAATTTGCAAGAAATGAATTATTAATAAAAACTTGTCCATTTTTTATTTCAAAAGTCATTATTTATAGTTGCGAAATATTTGGTAGAGACTTGGTCCCGATTTGATACAGATTTTCTAAATCCATTTCTCAAATACAGTTTCAATGGCACATTTTAATCATTCATTCGTCAAAAAATTTATTTGTCACAAAATCTATTCTAAGAAAATATACAACAAATAGACCCTTAAAAATGAAAATCGAAAATAGAGAAAAGATTGTGATATTTAAAAAAAAATAAAAATAAAAGAGAGGAAATATACTAAGAAGGATCAAAGCAAATTAGAGAAATAGAAAAGTAAGTGAAGCCGAGTAGATGAAGGATATATATAATAGTTCTTTAAAGTACTCAATAGAATCTAGGAGTGAACCCATTAATATGAAAGGTCGATTTCAGAAGAATTATAATAGGTTTGAAGAGTTGATAAAAATTATTTGTTGAAAACTTGGAAAAGTTTGATGAGACGCATACACTGTTTCTAATTAAAATGCGAAAAAAGTTTAACATCACGTACCGTTCGGTCCGTTCCCAGTTGGAGCATCGTTGCAAGTTAATGCAGAAGTTCTATTAGCACAATAACAAGCAAATGAGCCATCCCGATTAGTCCCGCACAGCCCACCTGACCCGACGCAATTCTGGCAAATGCTATTATTCGCCTCCCACTGCAACAAGAACCCACTGACGAAAGCATCCTGAAGAAGACGAGCAACAGAGGTAGTTGGAAGTGCAAGCAAACTCTGATAAGTCTGATTGATGGGAACATATATACTATCGTCACATCTGATAGTATTCCCAGAGGTAGGAACTTCCTCTATCACGTAGAAACTGGTAGTATTGGTGCCATTCACGTTGCAACTGAACTGGCCAAGGAGCTGTGTAGGCTGTCCGTTAAGGGAGCAACCGTAGTATAGAGTAATGTTCCTGTAACCAGGAGAAGGCGTAAAGAGGTTTAAATCCAGGGTTGTGTTATAAAGAAATCTGGGACAAGCGGTGGTCCATAAATCCTCTCTAGCAACCTTGAGAGTCCGTGCGGTGTTATTGATTTCCAGGACACGGTATCGGATTGACAAGATATTAAGGAACGCGACACCGCCTTGGCAAGTCAACTGGAAGCCTGAAAAACCGCAATATTCCGGCCTACTCCCTCCCCAGAAAGGATAAGTTACGTTTTGGATGTCGCCACATCGATATGGAGCACCACAGGTTGCATATTCCCTTCCATTTTGACACAAGGAACCCGGGACGTAAAGGATTAAAACGAGGATTATGAGGAGGAGAAAATATCTCTGGTTGAGTTTTGGATGCATTTTTACAGAGAGAGAGAGAGAGAGAGGAGATTCTACAAAAAAAAATTGGAATAAGCCAAGTTCATGTTGAAGGGGGATCGCTTCAAAATTCAATGTTTCGGACGTCATAATTGACAAAGGAACTTTTCTTGAACGTGTCATGACGAGAAAGTAGTTGTGCAGTTTTTCAAACAAATAGAAGCTTCTGTTGGAATGGAATTGGTCTAATGAAATATTATGAAATTACGTATGAAAACACTACTCCATTTTCTGTTCTCGTCCTTGAAGGTTGGTGACAAATTTTGGCATTTCTTAGAAGAGTTTTGGGAATAGAATTAAAGCCAGAAAAGACCAGTAGTTTGGTGGGAAGCTTCACTAAAGAATAATGCGTAAAGTTATGGGGTCGGATGAACCACAAGATGTCATCTTACTCGATACAGCTATGTTTGAGTCCCATTTTTTGCAAAAATAAATTTTCTAATAGTGATTTTTTAGAGAGTGTGGAGTTAAAAAAATGAAAAGTTTTGAGTTTACGAATAAAATTATTTTATTCGAAAAATGTGTGATTGAAAATAAATTTGAGAAAAAAAATGAGTTTTTTAAATAATGGTTCTCAAATAGAGACCTTGATCTATTAAGATCTTGACTATAAAGTTTAATGTTTCGAAGCAAGTAACGTTTCATCGATCCTGAACCTTCGTAGCTCATGAGCACACAGGAGAACAACACTATTGAACTCTTACTCCAATGAAATTAACATTTGTCTTGAATATCTACTAAGTCTTTGTTTGATCCACATTATTTTTTTTCATTCTCATTCTTTTACTCATTTTCAACCACACATCCTTCAATAAAATAATATTTTCTATCACATCAATAACTTTTCCTTCTTTTTCAACCACATATTCCCCATCACATCACTTTAAAAAATTGCATTCTCTCATTTTAATGTGCACCAAACGGGCTCTATTTATTTCTGTGTTAATTTCTATTACTGTCTTTTACAGGATTCCTTTGAGCTGGACGATGACATACATTGCAACGTGGGTGAACCTAAACTATTTTCTGAAAAGAGAGTTACAACGGAAACCTCTCTTAGCAAGCCCTCACCTACTGAAGAACTAAAGCTGGATCAAACTACATCTCTGTCAGAAGAGAAGTCAGTTCTGGATCCTATATCAAGCAAAAGAAGTGACATGGG